CCAGACTCGGGCACCCCTTTTCTTTGTTCAGCTCCTCCTCGTCATCCGCCAGTCACCACGAAACGCTGCACTGGGCGGGTGAAAATGCCAGATTGACTAATCGGGGCGCATGCGGACGGTGACACTGGGGCCTTCGGTGGAGCTCCTTATGGGGCCACGAAACGCTGTGCTGGGTGTGCGGGACGCATGCGGACGGTAGCACTGGGCCATTCGGTGGGGTTCCCTATGGGGCCAAAAAACGCTGTACTGGGCGTGCGGGACGCATGCGGACGGTGACACTGGGACATTAGCTGGAGCTCCTCCTATGGGGGCACGAAACGCTGTACTGGGTGTGCGGGACGCATGCGGACGGTAGCACTGGGACCTTCGGAGGAGCTCCTCCTATGAGGCCACAAAACGCTGTACTGGGTGTGCGGGACGCATGCGGACTGTAGGAGGAAGGGGGGGTGGAGGAGTAGAGGAGAGGAACGCGGGGCACCGTCTGTTCAAAACGAGGATCCAACATCACAGGATAGTTGGGAACAAGTACACCGATCCTGGGCCCGAGATCGACCTGGCCAAGATCGATGCACGCCCCCGAAGGCCTCTCAGCCGCGGCCGCGGCAGCGGCAGCGGCCGACGACGACGACGAGGACGACGACGACGACGACGACGACGACGACGACGACGACGACGACGACGACGACGACGACGACGACGACGAGCTGCGCGCTGCGCCACCGAATGCCTCTCAGCCTCGACAGAGCCCGGCGACGCGACCCGCGCGGCCCTCAGGGGGCGCTGGGGCGCGCCCCCCTCGGCGAGCCCGCTGCACGCCCATGGGGCGGCGCGGCTGGGGCCCGCTCTCTGCGCGCGGCGCGGCGCGCGGGGCGGTGCCTCGGCCGCCGCGCGGTGCGCGGCACGGTGCTCGCGCGGCCAGCCGGACGATGCGCGGCGCGTGGAAGGCCTCGGCGCGGCGCTCGCCCGCGCGGCCCCAAGGCGAGGCCGCGTGGGCGCAGCGCGCGCAGGCGCCAGCGGCGTCTCTCGCGTACCCGTGGTGGGTCGGGCCCAGGAGGAGTCGGGCCTGGGACCCTCTGCCCAGGAGCCCGCCAAGGAGTCGCACAAGAGTCCACCCGGGGACCCCACCCGGGGGCCCCACTCCGGGAATCGACCCGGACGGCCACCCGGGAGTCAAATCCGGAAGTCTAGTCAAAAATCTACCCAAGAGTGTGCCCAGGAGTGCGCCCAGGAGTGCACCCAGGAGACTACCCATGATACCCAGGAGACCATCCAGAAATCTGCCAAGAAAGATACCACCCAGAAGTTTTCCAATGCGTATTCACCGAAGTCTACCCAGGAGTCGGCCCAGGAGTGTACCCAGGAGTGCACCCAGGCGTCGACCTACGAGAATACCCAAAAATATAACCTGGAGCAGAAAAACAGAAGGAACGGGGGCAGGGCTTAGGGGGGAAAACAACGAAGGAAATGCATCGCGGCACGTTGCGGGTGCAGCACCCCGATGCCCCACAGGGTGCCGCGAGCCCCCATCGCACCGTCCTTCCCCTGTTTCCGCTTCCCCTGGCCCCAACCCTCTCTAACGAGCAGCTGAAGGGGGGCAGCGGCAACAGGACAACAACAAGGGGGAAACGCCAACATCCAGCTCTCTAAGAGCGCCGCCCACATCGTGTCAGGCGCGATCTCTGTCAGCATGCATGGAGCAGCGGGCTGGCCGCCTGTCCTCACGATGGCCAAATATGAGCGACGGAAGGAACGCGGACCTTTTCGCGGTGGTTTACAAAGAGCCGCCAGCGAGGCACATCACGTGGGGGAGAGGGCGTTTGCGCGCAACCCTACGCGGAAAAAAACCACGCGAATGTCAGAACAGTCGACCCCGTCATGGCCCGTCGCGCCCGCGTGAGCCTTAGTCCAGCGTTCGAATAGCAACATCTTGGATGGCCAATCGCCATGCGCACGTAGAGCGTAACGCTGCTCGCCCGCACCTCCTAAAATTTTGGGTTTCGCACAGGGTGGATAATCGTTTACATCGTGCCCGACCAAGCCTTCGACCATCTTCTCATCAATCCGAACTTGCCCCACAAAGCGTTGGCCAATCCGTTCCACCCCGATGGAAATCTGATCTTGCACGTCACCGAATATACAACCAAATAATCGCCCAAATGATCAAATCTCAACCAACTGCTCCGAATACCCCATCTAGAAGAGGATGCAATCATGAGGTAAACAGCATTCCTCCTCTTCATCCTCCTCGTCATCCTCCTCTTCCTCTTCCTCCTCAATCGCCTCTTCCGCCTCCTTGTTCTCCTCCTCCTCCTCCTCCTCTTTATCCTCCTCCTCCTCCTCTTCCTCCTCCTCCTCCTGCTCTTCTTCCTCCTCCTCCTCCTCATCCTCCTCCTCTTCCTCCTCCTCCTCCTCCCCCTCCTCCTCCATCTCCTCCAGTCCTTTTCCTTATAAATAACTTATCCCTGTCGCACCCCGAAGCCAGTTTCTGGGGCAAGCCTGACATTTCGCCTGAGTCTTCCTCATCTCTTACGACGCTAAAGGGCAGGGTTTCACATGTTACGAGCTGAGATTGTTGTTACTGAAACCGTTTGGCTCAAGGGAAATGGACACAGGGGCTTCGCCATTCCGCATGGTAGCGGAGCCTGGTCGCGCCCACGGCCAGGCTCCATCTCTCTCGTTCTGCGATGGCCTCCGCGGAGGAGGTGCTGCAGAGGATTGTGGCCATGGAGGGTGTGGCCGTTCAGCAGAGAGATCAGATCGCTCGACTAGAGCGAGAACTGCGAGACGCCAGCGCAAGAGCAGCAGCAGCAGACGGTGCAGCAGGAGCTGACGACAGACAAGCATCGACATATCGTCCAGAGTCACTGGTGGACACGAAGCTGCCGGGAAAACCTGACAAGTTCTCTGGAGAGCTCGACGAGAATGCCAAGTACAAGGATGGAGTGACATGGGAGAACTGGAGCTTTGTTCTTGTGGCCTACTGCACGGCAGTGGATCCGCACATGGCAGAGTTGATGCGGGACGCTGCGAAGGTAGACGCAGAGAGTTACTCGCACGAAGACATGGATGAAGAGGCGCAGCGGGTCAACACGAACTTGTACTACATCTTGGTCCTAACGTGCAAGGATAAGGCCCAGGGGATCGTGAAGAGCGTACCATCGGGAGCAGGACTGGAAGCATGGCGACTTCTATGTGTGGAATTCGAGCCGAAGGTTCCGTCGAGGTTCTCAGGTATGTTGGACTCCATCCGGTACCCAACCACGCAGGAGAATTATCCGATCAAGGGTATCGTGTCATGGGAGACGCTGGTGCAGCGTTATGAAGAGCAGACGGGAGAGAAGGTCATGGGGTCAATCAAGAAGTCAGTTCTCAGCACGCGGCTGGTTCCATCAAAGCTACGAGAGCACTTGATGTTGACTGCGACGAGGTTCACCACGTATTCAGTAGTGCGAGCCGAGGTGCTGAACTACTTGAGATCGGAGCAGACGGCGATGGCTCTGAATGGACCAGCACCGATGGACCTGGACGCGCTCACGTTCGGCAAGCATGGCAAAGGCAAAGGCAAGTACGCTAAGCATGGCAAAGACGGCAAAGGCAAAGGGTTCGACAATAGCTCGACCAGTCAGCCATGCAAGTACTGCGGGAAGAAGGGCCACAAGCTGATGGAATGCAGGAAAGCGACTCAAGACATGAAGGACGGAAAGATCACTGAGGAGGACTTGCGGAAGATAAGCAAGGGCAGGGGCAAGGGCAAAGACAAGAGTGATAAACCGAAGACGACGCCTACGCCAGATAAGCCCAAGGACCACGACATGAAGTATTTAGGTTACGACCACGACGAGGAAGAGGGCTACATCTTTTCGTTTACGGAGTGCGAGAATATGGAGTCATATGGCCAGGAGATCATAGATCTACCTGGGAATCTAGAGTACATTGGAGATCCAGAGGACACTATGGATCTAGATGACGAGAAAGAGCCCAATCATGATAATGACGAGAATGACGAGAGCTACCTGATACCGATAGGCGACTACGAGAACGAGACTGACGGCAAGATCGAGGTGATGGTTGACTCATGCGCAGCACGAAGCGCATGTCCACCGAGTTTTGCACCACGGATAGCGAGAGAAGAGGCAGACGCGCCACCACTACGACAAGCAGATGGTACCAAGATCTACGCGAATGGGTGCAAGACTGTTCAAATGGAAGTGGTTGGAACGGGACAACCTATCAAAGGTCAGTTCGATGTACGAGACGTTCATAAGACGATCATTGCGGTCAGTGATTTAACGAAGGGATCACAAGGCGCGTGGTTCGACGAGTACGGAGGCGCGGTGGTCAACTCAGCGATCAGCCAGAAGATCATGCAGGTGATCGAGACGGAGGCCAAGTATAGTAAGAAGGGAAAGCCGCTCACGATCGAGAAGAGACGAGGCATCTATAGCTTCGACGTGGACGCCAGCACGCTGCGCCGGCTTGAAGGAGAAGAAGCACCAGCACAGCAACAGGATACACAAGAGGAGCTCGACAGTGAGGAGGCGCAGAAGCCCAGGGTGAAGAAGGAAAGGTATAAGCCAACTGCGGAGGAGATCGCCATACATGAGAAGACGCACATGCCATATCGAGACTGGCGCAAGTGGTGCCCCTGGGGCCGAGGCAAGGAGGACGGACGCAAGAAGGCCAATCCAGATGAGGCGCCGACGATCCCAGCGATCAGCATGGACTACTGCTTCGCGAACACGGAGCTGGAGACGGAGATGGTCATCATCCTGGTGGTGGCCCAGAAGCCCGAGGACGCGGTGGCGTCCATCATGGTGATCCACAAAGGACCCGGCGAGTATGTCAATTAAGCGGTGGAGTTCTACCTGGACGCCTGGGGAGCAGCGCACATCATCCTGAAGGGTGACCAAGAGCCGTCGTTACAAGCAGTCATCCCTGCGGTGAAGAACAGGAGGAAGCACAGCACACAGGTGGAGAAAGCGCCGACGGGTTCTCACCAGAGCAACGGGGCGATCGAGAACGCAGTGGAGAGAGTGGAGCCGTTGCTACGTACGTTGCACAGCGAGCTTGAGGCGAAGTTGGAGGTGAAGATTGGCCCCAAGAGTTTGATCATGCCATGGTTGGCCAGACATGTAGGATACTTACCCACGAGGTTCGCTATCAAGACGGACGGGGGAACAGCTTGGGAACGACTTGGCCGCGCAAAGTACAAGTCAGAGCTTGGGAAGGTCGGCGAGACGATCGATTACAAGATCCAAGCGAAGGACTACTCCAAGCTAGAGCCGAGATGGGGAGAAGGTATCTTCTTGGGACGACGCGACGAGAGTGACGAGATCATCGCGGGCACCGCGCGAGGCATCGAGCACGCCAGGGCGATGAAGCTGAGAGCCGCAGAGGACAAGTGCAACAAGGAGGTCTACAACACGTTCATAGGAGTTCCATGGGATCCGAGAGGCCTGGAGGTGAAGGACCAGAACGAGGTGATTCGGCGACGGAAATACATCACGATTGAGGAGCATGGGCCTACCGACGGGCGTGCAGTTTGCGAGGTAAACTCTGCGATTCACAACGCGAGGTGCAGTACCAGGTTTGCCAAGATCTTCGATGAAGCCGAGCCGAAGATCGAGATGGCGGTGCCAGCGAAACCAGCACAATCTGGAGACGGAGCAGCACCAGCAGCAGTTCCAGCAGGACAGGCACCACCAGAGGAGGCCAGAGTTCGAGAGCCACGATTGGAAGAAGAAGGTCAGCGAGCTCCTGGCACACCGATTGGTCATCACTTTGGGCGAGAGGTTCAGTTCGAGCAGGACGCGGAGATGACAGGCAACGCGATCATTGCAGGAGGCGGCGTTGCTCCCACTACGCCGAGGCGAGACGAGGACATGGAGATCGGGATCAGCATGTCAGTTACAAAGGAGGAGGACCGTCACGTCTGCGAGGAGACGGAACCGAGGGTAAACTACGAGAAGTTGGTGGGAGACGGAGTCTACCGAGATGCGTACACAGGTGAGGGGTTGCCGAAGGATCTAATCATCAATGGACGGACCAAGGAGATGAAGAGCATGGAGGAGTTTGAGGTCTTCGGGCGGGTACCGTTCGAGGACTGGATGAACCCATTTAACACCAAGTGGATCGCCTGCAAGAAGTACGACTTGCAGCACAACGGGTGGATCGTGAGGAGCCGATGTGTTCACAGGAGATATAGCGATGGTAACGACCCCTCGAACTTCGCAGGGACATCCGCACTATGGGCAGTGAACTTGGTGGTATCACGCGCAGCGTCGGTGAGGACTAGTGAGCAGAGGGGGAAGAAACTTGGGATGTACGTCATGTCCGTGGCGTTTTCCATGCGTCACTGAAGGAGCCACAGTACTGCTGGCCACCATCAGAACAACGACGACCAGGTATGCTCTGGAAGCTGCAGAAGGCTATGTACGAGACGCCTGAAGCCTCGATGCTCTTTCAAGGAGAAGTTCGAGACAACTTCAGCCACAACGGGTATGAGGAGTTGAAGACGGTATGCTGCCTGTACTACCATCCTGGCAAGGACTCACTGTGTGCAGGACATGGGGATGACTTTGTGGTGGAGGCCTACGACGAGGAGCTGGGTGAGTTTGATGAGCTCATGGCTAACAGGTTCAAGGTCAAGCCGCAACCAAGAGGGGGCCCAGGAGGAGCAGGTGAAGGCACGCTTCTCAACAGGACAGCGCTCTGGGGCGAGGAGGGCTTCGGCATATTGCCTGATCCGAAGCTGATCCTGAAGATGGTCGAGTTGCACGAGCTCAAGCAGGCCAAGCCCTCAGAGACACCGAGTTCAAAACACACGGCGAAAGGAGTTCGTGAAGCGGAAGATCCAGTGGGACGACTGGGATCCACAGTTTACCGAAGTTGTGGAGGTATCGCGCAGTACATGGCTGGAAATCGATGGGACGTTCAGGAAGCAGTTCGAGAGCAGAGTTGTTCGTACAACGAGCTGCGTGTGAAGCACGTCCTCAAGCAGAAGCGCCTGGTCAGGTACTTGAAGGGGACGGCCGACATTGTGATATTCTACCCGTACCAGGAGGAGAGGTTCAAAGTGAAGGCGCCGGTTGATGCAGACTGGGCAGGTCTTGAGGCGACGTGCAAGAGTATCTCATCAGGAGGAGTGCGACTAGGAGCTCACTTGTTAGAGAGTTGGGTGTTGTCTCAAGCGACGGTGGCACTTTCAAGTGGTGAATCGGAGTTCTATGCGATGGGTTCGGGCACTGCAAGGGGGTTGACCATGAAGCACGCGTTGCAGGAGATGTCCGACATGCGAGGAGAGAAGATCAAGATCACCCTGGAGTTGGAGACGGACCCAGCAGCAGCGAGGGGCATGATACACCGGCATGGAGTGGGCCGAGTGCGACATCTACAGACGAGGTGGATATGGCATCAAAATTTGGCACGCGACGGTGAGATGGAAGTGGCGAAGGTCAATGCCAAAGACCAGGTGGCCGATATAGGGGTAAAGTCTATGGACAAGGAGACGCTGAGGAAGCACATGAAGACGTTAGGGTTGACCTCCATCAAGTTGACAAGCTTCAAGAGCCCAGAGGTACTCACGAAAGTCTTGGCGGCCATGACGATCATGAATGGAGCAGAGGCCGCGGAGTACTACTACGAGGATGAAGTCAACATCAAGGTGAGCATGGCGAGTGATGTTAGTTGGTGGAATGTCTTTTCGCATCTGGTGGTAACGATCATGGCAGTGGCGTCCAGTTATTATGCGTTTGTGGTGAAGGAGAATCAGATCGGGGTGGAGGGGCAAACCTTCAGCACCCGAGGTGAAGGAATGTGGACAACGCCATTTCAACCAGCACGAGATGGCGATCGCGGGTCAAACCTCCAGGACCCGAGGCTGAGCAGCTGCGGGCACAGTGGGACAGATAAACGATCACCGTCAAGAAGACGTAGACGTGCGGAGTCGCCAGAGTCAGAGGCGCAGTTGAAGAGAATGCGTTCGGTCGGAGTTCAAGGGCCAGTAACGTACAAGAGCAGGAGCAAACTCCACAAGGAGGCCGATGGTCGGCATACGCCGTTGGGTGCTCAGGAGTGGGGTGCATGGTTTTGAAGCTGCACGGAACCTGAACGACCCGTTCGAGAAGCTGATCGGTGGAGCGTGGCTGGCTCGTTCGGATGATTTTACGACGGAGACCGATCACCTTCCGAGGTCGCAACGCGCGCGCGAGAGAGAGAGAGAGAGAGAGTGAGAGAGAGAGAGATATGATAATGAGGCCTGAGATACACATGAATGAGAGGTTTCTTTGCCATGGCTATTGATGTTGCATGAAACGGAACCGAGTGGTTTCGGATAGCACTGCGAATTGAAGTGGTGGGCTGACGAGTCCACTAGCTTGCACAGCGGCCCCGAGGAGGGCTGCAGGGTTTCACATGTTACGAGCTGAGATTGTTGTTACTGAAACCGTTTGGCTCAAGGGAAATGGATTCAGGGGCTTCGCCATTCCGCATAAAGCTTAAAAATTGGCAACAGCTTCTCAGATGGAGGCCAGGTCGATTTCAAAATGTGGATCTCGCCATAGCGCCGCACACATTCGCTGTGCAAACTTGCAAGAGCTTCAACGATTGGAGGCGGGTTGATTTCAAAATGGGGCTGTCGCACGAGCGCCGCGCACATTGGTTCTCAGCACATTGCAAGAGCTTCGCGGGTTGAGGGCGGGTGGCATTCACCATGTGACTCTCGCCTTAGCGCCGCGCGGAGTCGTTCTAGAGCGGTGCAGGAGTTCCACTGATTGAGGGCGGGCGGTTTTCAAAATGTGGTTCTCGCTTTAGCGCCGCGCGCATTCGTTCTAAACATTCGCAAGAGTCTCTCGCATTGCGGGTGGGTGGTTTTCAAAAGGTGGTTCTCGATTTGGCGCCGCGCGCATTCGTTCTTAGAAGTTGCACGAGCCTGCAAAATGCAGGGCGGGTGGTGAATGCAACTCTCGCTTTAGCGCCGCGCATGTTGATTTTCCAAAACATTGCAAGAGCTTCACGATTGAGGGAGGGTTGTTTTCAAACTGTGGCCC